GCTCAGAAAGAATTTCAGAGTTCAACCCAGAAACAATAGGACCACGAAGACCACTCCCTGTAAAACGGGCCCGGCTTCGCCCAAAAACGGCCGGGACGAATCCATGGTAAGTTAAATTGGTAAGATGGCAAATTGAAATGGGGTTAATGGTGGTGACACTGAGTGAAACGAGAGGCACCAATCTGGCGTACTTACAGATCAAATGAAACACTGTGTGGTCTGCTGATGTGATTCCTTCTGTTTGTCCTTTCAGCAGGTCCTTTTGTTGTGAAGAGAGTTGCTTCAGTCCCCTTTCTTGTAGTAGCTTTTCAGTTTCACGTACGGTCTGTTCATACACTCCAGGGAGAGCAGAAGGGAAATCACTGTAGCAATAGAAGGGACATAACGGGTCACAAGTTTTTCTTGACAAGTTGACGATGAAGATTTATATTTGTTGGTCTTTCCACGAGTGTGGTACAAAGAAAATCCAAGTGCTCTTGAAGGATTGAACCTACAGGGTTCGTGCAGGAATTTCAGAGTTAAATTTAAGGATTTTTTAAGGAGTATTTAAGGACTTAAATTTGACTTTCAAGTAGTTTTAAAGGAGTTTAAGGAGTAGCACGAACCCTGAACCTAAGACCATGGAAATCCGCGCTATATTCTACCACGGAGCTAGAGAGAATTGGAGGGCTAGGCCTTTTAAAAAGTTCATGTGTGACCTGCGTCTTCTACATTCTGTTCAGAGCAGCAATGTAGAAAGCTTCGTTTGGTTAAATACCGTAAGAAAGACAATAATTTTGAGCTCGGTGATGGAAAAAAGAAAGACCTTTGTTTGTCTTGTCACGAGCGTGTGACGAAGAACTAGGAGACAGTTTTAACTGATTATTGCGAGAAATGCACCAATTTCGTCTTACCCTTCAGGTACTCCATCCAAGAGAATGTACAGCACTTCCTTAAGGGTGGCCAAATATGCCGCATCTGAAGCTAACTGCTGACCTATAGTGTTCAGGGTCACCAGTAGCACAGCTGCAATAAGAGTGGTTCGACGAACACTCCACCTCATCTCAGCCAATCGGAATTCATCCATAATCAAGGTCTGTAAAAAGAAAACAAACAAACAAACAATCAAAAATAAGGAACTTAAGCACGGACGTTTTTTGAGACGTGGAAGTCAAACCTCTGACATTCTGCGCTCCGATGCATTACCACTGAACCACTGAAAGACTCTTCGGTGAGTTCGCTCATTACTGGGTCCATTAGTGACGCGAGTCATGCAAACAACTAGGATCTGCATGTGGAGAGTGACTGCGGGTAAATTGAATAAGAAGGATGGGAATTTTTTTTCAGCTCGGTAATGAAATAAACAGAGATGTTTGCCATCTCTCTTACTCTATTTACTCACACGACATTTGCCACAAACTGCTGCTCCAAGCAGTATGCAAGGACACTTGGGGATGGAAGGGAGAATGAAAAAAAACTTTGAAGCAGGACGTTAAGAAATTCGTGTTAATTACCTCTGGAAATGGCCAGCCTGCCTCCCCAAAGATTATTCCTAAATATCCATGCACTAACACATCAATCAAATCAGCATCTTGTAGTTTCTGCAGTGTAAAGTCTGTGGTGTCAACTGCTTCTGCAGAGACTTGTGCAGCAGCCCTGACACCAACTCCTGTGGCTACTTGTGCCCCTCGTTTGAGCCAAACTTTAGTTGACATAAGACCACCTGGAGAAAGGCAAACCTTTGTCAAATCTAGCAATTCAGTCCTGAAAAACCGTGCCACCTTGGACTGATGGAAACTCTACGGGGAGGTCAGTACATGCACTAAAGGAGCAAAGTCACAGTTTTCTAAAATTTGAAATACTTAAACCTTAAATTTTAATTTTCTAACATTTGGTGTGTATCAGTTTCAATTAATAGTCTCTGTCCTCCATCATCTCAGTTTAATTCCTTTATTAATTGTTATGTTAAGTTACAAAATTTTTATTAGTTCCTTTAGTTTTTAAAATAGGTAGGGGCAAGATTCCCTTAGAAGCCAAAAATGTTCCGAACTGGAAATTTGAACTGCCAGCTAAAATCGAATTTCTTGAGAGTTACAGTTGAATTTTGAAAATCAAAGAAACCCTTCTTGAAGTTATGAAGACATAATAATTCTTGTTAATTACCACAATTTATTACACGACTCGGGCAGTCAGAGGGCCAATAACTAAAATCAACCAATCAAAATGCTCTATTGCCAGTCAATATTCTCTCAGTATTGTACCGGGCACTGTCCCAAATGGTCCCAAANGAATCAACTTAACGGCCTGCTCCCAGTTGGCTTGTTAGCTCAATTGGTAGAGCGCTGCACTAGTATCACAGAGGTCAGTGGTTCGAATCCCGTACAGGCCTGATTTTTTTCAGGTCTGATTTTCGCTATTACATAAATAGCACTATCTACTGCGAGGATCATGCATCATAGGCACCACCTGTTTTGTCTAAAGTTTTTGCAACTTTATGCATTCAATAATTTGTGATACAATGAGCGATTTAACTACCTGGATTGGATTGAAGATAATCTTTAAACTTTTTCCGTTCGTACTCTACTGACTGCTGCATAAGATGAGGTTTGATCGTCTGTAGCTGAAAGTTGGCCATATCAACCTTCATTGCATCTATCAAGCTAAACACCTCCCTGAATGCAAATGGAAAATAATAATAACATAAAAGTTCAAACTCATGTCTTTTGTTTAATCATGTTCTTATTTAAACTACCAACTTTTTATCAGCTCACCTGAACAGATCCACAATATCTTCATTGAGTAAGATCTTTTTGGCCTGTTCATCTCTTGCTGGAGCACACATTTTGCTGAGGAAACCAACAATAGACTGTGCAAGTTTGGAGATGTCCAGAATGCCATGATCAGCCTGTTGCTTTATAAGATCTAGGTCCAACATTTCATTGATGTGTGTTCTGAGTGAATTTTGATATGGAAGAAGCAATGAAAGCATGTTCTATGAAAACAAGAGGACATAATTATGTGTGTGATGTTAAGACAAATTTACCACATGTTTAAGTCAAGTTCTTCAAAAAGTTATGCCCTCCCCCTCTACATACCAAATAGTACATTTAGAACTACACTCTAGTACATTATGCACTAACAAGATGTGAGAGTCCTGAGAAGGAATGAGGTGCTCTAAATCTTTTTTAAAAAACAGAACCATTCTGAAGCCCTTCACACTACCATTCTTACTGACTTAGTAGAGTTTCCCCTTTCCTACCTAACAGTTTAGACTAAAGTTATTGTTTAAGTATTATCAGTGAGTCTAATTTCAGCTCCAACAGAGAGCTTGAAGACTTGAAACATCAGCTTAAAAACATCTTAATGATGGACAATTTATGTTATCATAATGACCAGCTCCTAGTCGGCTTGTTTGCTCAGTTGGTAGAGCACTTCACCAGTATTGGAGAGGTTATGGGTTCAAATCCTGTACAGGCTTGAATTTTTTTCAGGCCTTATTTTCACTACTACTCAAGTCGTATTTATAACTGCAAAGATTGCTTTGATATTCATTTCTTAACCCACAGTTCACATATGTGATTTTCATATATTCAAAATCAGTTAAGAAAACCAAATTATCTGACTTCAGCTGTAGTCATTGATCAGATATAGTTCACCTCCTTAAGTTCTTGTAATAGAGATAATGCTTGATTGAAGACAGGGGGCTTCTGATTGAGTTCTTCCCGAAGTTTATCCCAAAATGCCTTGTGAACAACATCCCTGACTTGTTTTTCCAGTCTAGAAAGAATTAAAGTATATGTTGAAACAACCACCATAGTTTTGAATCACTCATGACCTTTAGAATATTTACTAGATAATGAATTGATGTTACAGGAAAAAGTTACAGGTTAATTTCGTTTGGGAGTAAAAATGGTTAAGCAATCAAACTGAACACATTACGGCAAACAGAGTCAGGTACTGCTCAAATAACACTAAGAATCTAAAATACATTTAGAAGGATGAGATGGTGTCTCTAATAATGGTAGCATGGTGGCCTTATAATAAGGGTGCTTGGGTCTCGAACAAAGAGATTGTCCGCTCTCTGGTACTTTTTATTACTCTCACAGCCTTTCTTTCTTCCCTGAGGAATAATAGGCAATACCAAAGAATGCTTGGAGATTACCTGCACTCCACTAACATCCCTCAAGGGGAAGGAGACATATATCTTATTAACCAAGCACGAGAGCCTATATTCTTCCAGTATGGTCCCAAGCAAGCTTGGTTAATAAGAGATTTATTATAGGACTGAAGTTCAAAGGGACACAAGTGTGGTATAATTCAGGACCATTCGGGACAGTGCCTGGTACAATATTGAGAGAATATTGACCGGCAGTAGAGCATTTTGATTGGTTGATTTTAGTCATTGGCCCTCTGACTGCCTGAGCCGCGTAATAAATTCTCATATTCAATAAGTCTTAGTGAGAGAAACCTGGAGGAAGCATCAACAACTACATGTTCTTTCATAAAAACTATGAATAAAACTTCCTTTTCAAAATAAGTCCTTTTTCTTTTGGCTGAAATACTCATTAGTTATCAAACAAGGCAAGAATGTTTATCAACCAATAATTAACTAAGTCGACTTTTTCACATTTTAGAGATCAAACACTCTCTTTTTCCCTGATAATAATTCACGGATGATGTTACTTTCATATGAGAGACCGTCAACACTGAAGTCCTGGCAGCAACAAAATGGAAGTCCTTATCATACATCTACAAAAAAGGGAATGCAACTATATCTTATCAGGCATTTTACAATAGAGCTCTGGCTGGTATAAGCTCTCTATTAAACACTCTCTTTTGAGAAATCTAAGGGACAGTCTGAAACCATACGTGCAACACCCTAAAAGTGACTTCTGTCGATCTTCCTTCTCTCACCACGCATCTATTCTATGGAACAACTCACCCATGTACTTAAAGAGCAAACCGAACACTGTTTCTTTTAAATCTGCTCTTAAAGCAAAATCCGACATTTTAGTTAAAATAACATTTAAATGGTTTACAAGGAATAAATAGACATTGTAAACTACATATATTAATGTTATTTTACTATTTTTACTTATTTTATTTATATTTAACATTATAGTCAATTAAAAGTAAATTATCTTACTAGGTATTACATCTTTTCTTACTTACCATCAATTCACAAGTTTGTTATTATTATTATTTAAATTTTGTAGATACACTTTAGTTTGTAGGTCCACATCAGCTTTTTAGCTGCCTTTTATCGACCTTCGTGACAAATAAAGTATGTATGTATGTACTATGTATAAAAACGTGTCAAATATGTCAACTGTGCTCAGAATAGAAAAATTATCTCCTTTATCGTTCGCGTCGCTTTACCTACTTTTGACTCTTTGAAAATGATAGCTGCTCTTCGATCTTATAAGAAATAAAATTCTTTGGGAAATTTCGCATGAAATGTTAAACATAACTCATAATACTAGGAAAATTACAACTAACAAATGCACTACGAGATGATCTCCTTATCCTCAGTGGGTAAATAAGCCGCTAATTTTAAGATGAAAAACATTTCGCGAAAATATAACTTCTCAGTGGAAACCATGATTTCGTCTTCACCAACTAAATACGCTTGGATCCTCACGAATTTTTAATTTTCCATGTAAACAAAAACGCGCGCGCCTTATCGTTCTTGCTTTTTCACGATGCAATGATGACCAATATAGAAAAATGAAAAGGTAACTCCCTTACTTAGGCCACACTCCAATAGAGTTATCAAATTAATAACAGATCTTACGAGTTTTGAGGAAGTTCCGTCTGAATTTTGAACGAACCATCCATTAGCAATTCGTGTGCTAAAGCCATATGTGACACAATCTTGGCAGTCTTCTGTTGACTGTCCTCTGAACTGTCAGAAGCGTTCGCACCATCCTGAGGACCATCCATGTCTTCCTCTTATTCGTACACTTCTATTCCTTTCAAAATACTTACGATCTTACGTGTATCAGCTGAAAAGAGTATACGCCGCTGAATTTCACCAATAAAAGTCAAAACAATAAACATATCATTTCTGTCCTCATTCCTTCGTTTCCATCGAGTAACCGAAAGACACTGGGAACTAGTTTTGGAGGTAAGTTAGTACATTATGTAAGCTTCATATGACAGGTCGACCGTTTTCATTCATGCGGCTGTCCGGGATAACCTACCTGTACGTTCTGTTGACTCACACGGTGGATAACACTACGAAGGGGAGCTCCTCGTTGTCTATCTTTATAGTTAAGAGGGTTTTCTTGAACAAAACTGATTTTAGAAAACCTGCTTGACTACGGTTACGTAACGAGAATTGAGATATTATTTCGTTCGGCTGCCTCGTCCTTCATACTTAACAAACCTTTCAAACCGATACTGTGGGGTATTATTTTCCGAGGATTTTTCTCGTTTTCCTCTCAGGAGAGACCGAAATGCAAAACTTACACTAAAAATTAGCAGATGAAACTACCTTTTCAGCCAAATCTAAGAGTACAGTGGGTGGGGAGTGGGACGTGCCGTAAGATGTTAATCATGTGACACACTTTGAAGGCGGTGAGTGATCAGTGATTGGCTGGCATCAGGCGCTTCGTCTCGTGACTATCACGCTGTAAATTGACATTACGTACAAAATTTGCTTCCGTAACTCTGAGAGCAGTATTTCCAGGCGTACTCAGACGAATTCGTAAATATGTCGTTCGCTTCTATAGTTTTTGTGCTTTTCGTTGCCTCAGGTGAGTTTATTTTGAGATTTTAAACTTCGTTTCAAATCTCTTTTGGAGTTCATTGTGGGCATGTAGTTTCATTTTCCACAAAATTGTCTGAACTTCACAAGTCTAGTATATGATTCAGAACGAAATTTTGGCTGAAGAGAATTTTATTTGCCATGATCAGCATTACCCACGAGCTCCTTACTAAGTGAGACATTACTCTAAGTTCAAGAAAGATCAATCATTCTTTGCGGCTTAAATGTCGACAATATTCGTGAATACCACTTTTCGCTAGTTGGGAAACATACAGTTTTCCTTTGATGGACTTTCAGTTTCACACCACTAATGCCGGAACAGTAGTTCTCCGATGGAGCATCCATTATTGGACTCTTTTTAACATTTCTTGGTTTTCTCTAAATTCCTAAGCCTATGTTTAGTTAAAAGAAGATGGAATTGGTAAGTTTGTGTAACTGAAAACTCGCTCAATTTGTCACAAGTTCTCGACATGTATTATATATGCCAACACTAGGCGCAAAGTTCTCGACCGCAAATTTCACTTAGAAAGGGATGTTCGAAGAATTTAACTCGTCATGTAGATATTGCGACTGTGTTCATTAAAGGGACGATAGCTTTCAAAGATTGCTTGGGGAAAGCTAGGGCCCGTACACGGTTTTCTTCAGCTCCTTTTGAGTTGCGTCATGAACCAAATGTAGCACAATGAAAAAGGCTAGGGGTCGATATCGAAGGGACCTCTGCTCGTAGGGTATGAAATAGGATGCGTGAATAAAAATTTGAGCTTAAATACTAAAGAGATTTTTCTGACAGTGGTTAATCCTTTCTTCGATGCCTAGTACAAAGGAGTATATGATGATTCTTATCATGAGAGTTTTGTTTAATTCTTAAATACAATCCTTTCACAATGCCTTGTTGGCTTGTTACCAAACGCATTAGGTCCGACACTAAAATCCGTAATATAACACCTGTTTTAAGGGTTAGCTTTCATTTTTACTTTCGGCCGTGAAAAAATTCACCTTTTCCCTTACTGACAGGGAGGTACACTTATCTTTGGTCAATTATGGGCAAATCATATTGAGATAAATTATTTTGCAGCCAGTGCATCTCCTTTGGGACAAGAGAAATGTTCATGGGGTCCCTCATACTGGTGTGCAAAGTACAAACAAGCTGTAGAATGCAATGCATTGGAACACTGTCGTACAAAAGTTTGGTCGGTTAAAGAGGAGGTATTTAAAAAACCTTCAGTTTATTTTCTAGACATCTGGAGGGAAATTGTGGGTTATTTTACCATTGATGAGTTGGTGCTAATCTTAATGTTTAAAGACACAAAAATAAGTACATAAGTTGGAGATATACATCGCCATGCTAAACAAATAACTACATTTGATTAAGCACCCAACCTCAAATAAGTGCCCACCTTGAAAAAGAGCCCACCCTATCGGTAGGAAAAGTAAATAAGCACTCGGCCTTGACAACTACCCACCCCTTAATTGTGACAATGTGATGGAAATTGAAAGAGTTTTACCATAAGTCTTCACAACGACTGAGTTGTCTTATCATTTTTAAGCAGCCCTCAATGAACTGTTATGATTCTGCTTTGGTACACCTTCAAGTTTTGATATTATTTATTGTTTAGTTGCAAAATATACTTGCTCACTTTCTGAGAATGGTGAAAATTTGATAAATACACAGCTCTGAATGAGTGCTCACTTCAAATGAGCCTGCCAAGGTCCAAAAATTTGATGAACACCTAGGTCTCTAATAATCAAATTAAAACAGAAGGTAAGTTATGTAGTGGACTGGTAACTTTCAAAGAATGATGTCTCAAGTAAATGTAAGAGTTAAAATATATATCTTATTGTACTTCAAGCCTTTTTTATGACTAGCAATTTTCTTTGTGGAAAGAAGTCTGTATATCAGAATTGAAATGCTTTTTATCAAGTTGTGAAAACTACATGTGCAAACGCTCTCTTTTATGAGGTTGCTTGTGATGTCTGTAAAGAACTTGACCCTTTGCTCAGAGGATACCTGGAGCAAAATGCAACTCAAGTAAGTTACTCATTTAAGTTTTCATCTTGCATGTCTTCTTATTTTTCTCTAAGATCTTTAAAACTATTTGCTGAATTTTTGGGCTTTACAAAATAACATTGTTAAGGATCTAACTCAAACTGCAAAAGAGCTCACAGAAATGAAAACAAAACTCATTAGAATAGGTTTTGGTATGTCAACATGGTAAATAACAATATCAAAAGAGAAGTAGAATTGTTTGTCTCACTATATGGTCACCTTGGATCAGGATTGCAACATTTTTGACTGCATATTGTTAGTTTTCTTCAGGCCATTAGCTCCATTGAGTATGGGTCACCTCTATGCTGCTGTGCTTAGCTGTAATTGAATGGAATTCCACATCACGACTGTGACTGATATATCTCCTCGGATCAGGTTCTATCTGTGTTCTGCAACAACGTCAACAAGGAAAGTGGAATAGAATACTCAGAAGCCTAGATGCGAACAATCAAGAAACACAACTGCAGGAGAGCCATGCAGAGCTGTCCATAGAGGGAACCTGTTCCAAGGATGCACCAATCACAGCTGTGGAATTCTATCCAATCACAGCTGAGCACAACAGCATGAAGAAGACCAACAGTAAGCAGTCCAAATGTCAGGATCCACGTCTCAAGTGACCAAATCATGATGCAAACAATTATGAAAGTGAAAATACACCAGCCGACAGATTTAGAAAGGTTTCATAATTTGTACAAACTGACGTTTGGGAATACTGTCAAATGAAAGTCACAACATCAGTTTTGTTCTTTTCTGTCATAATGTGCATTGTGTAATCCTGGGCTCTTTCAGGTGTTTAAGTATCTGGAAAATTTCTTAAAATTTAAGAGTTTTGACCATCAACTCTAATAGTTGTAGAATTAGTCGATATTATACCTGTCTTAGTAACAGTTGTTTAAAAAAATCATTTCAGACAGAGCTCATTACTCTATTAGAGGAAGTTTGTGAGAAGTTTGGTGGATCTTATGCATCAATGGTAGGTTTGGTTCAGCTTGATAATGAGTTCCGAAGCAGTTAATCTTTCAAACTCCTCTAATTTCCAAGCGAGTGCCAACATTAAGGAAGACAGTTGTTGATGGTAGGTTCTTATAGATACTAATTAGTACAGAAACTGTCTGAAAAAAATATGCTGAAAAGGTTATCTCCAGTGATGACAATAGAAACCGTAGTTGATGTTAAGAACTTAACCCACAATGTAACTTGAAGCTTGAGGCAAATTGAGAAAAGAATTAAGCTGCTTTCATTTATCTCTGAACCACATGTAATGTTTTGATATCACACTACAAATTTCTACCTACAGAGCATGTTTTAAAGTACTTTCCAAAACTCTGTTGACAATGATCTGTAATTAGTAGTTTGCTAGGAGTAATTGGCTTGACTTAATCTTGTAATGAAAGACCCAAATATTAGCTCTTGAAATTTATGGATACAAATAAGAAGTGATTTTGAAAAGAATTAACAATAAAAAATTACAATAAAACATTTCTTGATCTTAAAGTGTTTTTAAGAAATGTTTTTTTGCAATTTTTTATTGTTAAAAATTTATGCTAGATCAGGTAGATTAAGACACTGTTTTGGAATGTTTATAAGGTCTTTTTGTTGTAACTTAAATGTTTTTTATTTAATTGCAGTGCAAATCCTTAATTGATCAGTATGAACCACTGCTCATTAACACCATTTTGGAGTACTTGGTAAGTTTTTAATCTTCTGTTGTTGACAGAAATGTCCAAATGTGACCAGCAGTTTTCTGAAGTTACTGAAAATTGAATGCCTCTTCAATGTTCTTAAGATGTATTAAGTTTGTTTCTAACAAAAAAAAAATTTTTCTGGTTTCTCACCAGAAATTTAAAGTTTCAAACCTCTGGAGGAATTGAATTAATGAGTGTAAAGAAATGAACAGTTACATGGGAATTTTGATTTCCAGATGTTATTTTGAAGGAGGTTGTCCAGGATTTTGTCAGATCATCAATGCAAAGTAGATATCCTTAAGTCATGGAATCAACTCAGAAACAGTGTAAGACGTGTACTTTTTTCTGATTAAAGGCTGATCCTCAGCAACTTTGTACAATGTTGGGATTATGTTCAAGCAAGGTGAAACAAGTTGAAGCCAAGCTCATCTTCAAGCCCTTGCAGAAACAGATGAAAACACTGATGACACCTCTCGTTCTTGCTGCCAAGCACAAGTCAGCTGTTGTCAAATCCAAACCTTTCAAGGCTTCTCCTCAGTGTATTTTGTGCGAGTTTATCATGGACAAACTTGATTCCATTCTCAAGCAGAATGCAACTCGGGTGCGTGAAAGATAATAGTAGATAAATAGAAAGGGGTGGATGAAAAGACTAATTAGCCCTTTACACTTTGACATCAGTGTGCATATTTATTACATTGCTCGTAGTGCCTGTAGGCAAGATAAAGCTAATCCTGTGATCTGATTAGCTACACGAGTGAGCTAGATGGGCCCATCTTGCCCACTCAGGACTGCACACATTGATGCCTTGCATGAAAAAAATAGAATAAGAACTACTTTTAATTCATAATTCTTGGAGAATTTCATTGATGCAAATGCAAAAAGTGGCAGAAGATGTCAAAACAAAGAAAACAGAGACGACTTTCGTGAGTTTGTTGTGCTACAAACACAACTGGCTTTCTTTCCCAGCTCTTGAAGTAAACAAGTAATTCTTGATTCTTAATAAAGCGAAATCTTTTGGCAATAATTATGGTAAATCGTTTGTTAACCAAGCTTGTTCGGCCAAAATGGCTGGATATAAGTCTCATTCTTTTGTTTTCATTTTTGTGGACCTCAACTTTGTTTCAGTTCATAAAAATCCAGAAAAGAACTTGGCCAATATCCAGCCATCATGACTTAGCACTTGGTTAAGAGCAGATTTATCTTCTCCATTTCCATTCTCCATACATTTCCTAAAGATGTTGATGATCCAAATTTGTCTAACAATCAAAACAACCTTCTTTAGTTGGTGATCCTTTCCTTTATTCTTGTGAAAGAAATATGTGACTCCAGGTGATAAATGTAAGAGGAAATTAGATTTACTGCGCCAGATTGTGTTGTGCAGGAGGAAGAGGGATTGAGCCCTGGCCGGACCAAAACCCGTGGTCTTAAAATAACTGAGGAGAATTTGCCACCTTTCTATGATATCAAGAAATGGATAGATATTGTAGTCTTCTCGGATAAGGACGAATAAACCGTAGGCCCCGTCTCCTGCATGGTTAGGGGTAGGAGACGTTAATTTCCCATACACACGAGATTACTATATGGTGGATGTCCTCCCTTGGGGTGGGATGGGTGGGTGTTCACAGGGCCCCATTTAAACTAGCTGTCTGCTAAACTGGGCTATCCTGTATAAATATTCGTAA